TGGGGCAGTGGCCGTGGTTTGGGGGGCTGGGGCAGGGGTGGGGCAGTGGCCGTGGTTTTGGGGGGCTAGGGCAGGGGTGGGGCAGTGGCCGTGGTTTGGGGGGCTGGGGCAGGGCTGGGGCAGTGGCCGTGGTTTGGGGGGCAGGGCTGGGGCAGCATTCCCCGCTGACCCCGCGCGTTTCCCCGCACAGGCTGCAAGATCAAGGCGCTGCGGGCCAAGACCAACACGTACATCAAGACGCCTCTGCGCGGGAAGGAGCCGGTGTTCGTGGTGACCGGGCGGCTGGAGGACGTGGCCACGGCCAAGAGGGAGATCCTGTCGGCGGCCAAGCACTTCTCGCTGATCCGGGCGTCGCGGGGCCGGTCCGGGGGCCCGGGCGGGCCGTGCTTGCCGCCGGTGGTGCCGGGGCAGACCACGGTGCACGTGCGGGTGCCGTACAGCGTGGTGGGGCTGGTGGTGGGCCCCCGGGGAGCCACCATCAAGCGCATCCAGCAGCAGACGCACACGTACATCGTGACGCCGTGCCGGGACAGGGAGCCCGTGTTCGAGGTGACGGGCATGCCCGAGAACGTGGACCGGGCCCGCGAGGAGATCGAGACGCACATCGCATCGCGCACCGGCTCCTTCCCGCGGCCCGGCGACGGCTGCGACTTCCGCGCCAACGGCACCGACGTGGGCTTCGAGGCCCGGCCCCGCGCCCGCGCCCGCGCCGGGGTGGCCGCCGGCTACCGCAACGACAGCTCCAGCTCGCTGGGCAGCGGCTCCACCGACTCGTGCCTGGGCGGCGGCCGCCTGGCCGACTTCAGCCCCGCCAGCCCCTTCGGCGCCGGCGGCTTCTGGTTCGGCGAGGCGCTGCCCGCCGTGGGCGCCGAGGAGCGGGCGCTGGACTCGCCCGCCTACGAGCCCCTGCCCGCGCCCTCGCCGACCATCTGGGCGCCGCTGCGCGGGCCGGAGGCCGTGGGCGCCGCCGGGGCCCCTCGCCGCGGCAGCCGCTCGCCCACGCCCCGCCTGTCGCCCACCTTCTCCGAGAGCCTGGAGCACCCGCTGGCCAGGCGGGCCCGCGGCGACGCGCCGGGCGGCGGCCCCCAGGCCGGGCTGCCCATGCACATCCCCGCCTTCTCCAACGGTACCAACAGCTACTCCTCGTCCAACGGCGGCTCCACGTCCAGCTCGCCGCCCGAGTGCCGGCGCAGGCACGACTGCGTGCTCTGCCTGGAGGGCGAGGCCGGCGCCGCCCTCGTGCCCTGCGGCCACAGCCTCTTCTGCCTGCCGTGTGCCAGCCGCATCTGCGACGGCGACGCGCCCGCCTGCCCCGTGTGCCAGAGCGCCGTCACCCAGGCCATCCGCATCCACTGCTGAGCCCCGGCCGCCGGGCTTGCCCGCGCCGCGCTGGGGCCGCCGCGGTGACGCCGCACCGGGCCGGCCCGAGGAGGACTGGGGGATGCTGAGGGAGGGTTCGCCCCTTTCTCACAGCTGGTGAAACAAAGCGCTGTGGGCTGCTGCTGTTGTTATTGCAAAGGGTCTGTGCCACGGCTGCCGACACTTCCAATGCTGCCTTCTGTACACTGCCAGCGCTCCTAACAGGTCTGGGGACGGCCCCGCCCCACAGCTCTGCCCCACTGCTCTCGCCCATCCTCCCACAGCTTCGCCTCTGCCCCTTTAGGCTGCCCGCTCCGAGTTGCTGGGCTGGCCACGGCCAGGACCGGGTGTCCCGGGGGCAGGGATGGATCTGTGATTGCCACAGGGATCTCCAGGGAGCGGCCTGGCTGCTGCGCTGGGCAGGATCCTGTCCGAGGATCCCGTGTCCGAGGATCCCGTGTCTGAGGATCCCGTGTCCGAGGATCCCATGTCTGAGGGTCTCATGTCCCAGGATCTCTCATGTCCAAGGATCTCTCTTGTCCGAGGATCCCGTGTCCCAGGGTGTCTCGTGTCCCAGGGTCTCTCGTGTCCCAGGGTCTCTCGTGTCCCAGGGTCTCTCGTCCCAGGGTCTCTCGTGTCCCAGGGTCTCTCGTCCCAGGGTCTCTCGTGTCCCAGGATCTCGTGTCCCAGGATCTCGTGTCCCAGGGTCTCTCGTGTCCCAGGATCTCTCGTGTCCCAGGGTCTCTCGTGTCCCAGGGTCTCATGTCCCAGGGTCTCTCGTGTCCCAGGATCTCTTGTCCCAGGGTCTCGTGTCCCAGGCTCCTGTCGGGGCTCTGCTGTCCCCCCGGCCGGCTCCTGGCACTGCTGACATTCCGTTCTCTCCCCGCCCGAGCTGTTCCAAAATCACCTTTCCCCGAGAGCCTGCAGATCAAAATGTGAAGCCTTTCGTGGTGTCCAGTCCTCGTCTTGCACATAACAGAGAAACACGTTTTATTTTTGGTGAGGAAAAGGAAAAGCGGGGAGTTGAGTGCGTGCCCTTGTCTCGTTGTTCGTTTCCCAGCCCTGCAATCAGTGTGCTCCATTTCGAAAGCGCCCTTCCCATCACGAGTTCTGACTAACAAAAAGGTGAAGAGAGTCTCTTGAATTCTTGCATTTCAACCTGTGGATGTTCCCAGCTCTTTCATCCTCAGTGTGTTCCCGAATCTCTGCTGGCATATGTTAAAACAACAAAAAACAAGCAAATAGAACAATATGAAAAACCAAAAAAAAAGAGGAAGAAAAAAAATACTAAGCGGAGTTCTGGTGGATTTTTTTCTATTTTTCTTGTTTGAAGCATTATTTTCCCAAGACAAAGCTTTTTTCTCAGTATAACAGAAAAAGAAAAAAAAAAAAGGACGAAATGAAATCACGTGCACGCTGAACTAGCAAACACACAGGAGAAAACTTTATTTTTTAATTTCCACTTGAAGAGTTACATTTCGTATTAAAAGTTTACAGGTAACGGTTTTTATTTTTGTGATTCCGAGTCTTGGGGAGCCGCCCGAGGGCCCCGGGCCTGTCCTGCAGCGCTCCGGGTGTCCGAGTGTCCGAGTGTCCGAGTGTCCGAGTGTCCGGGCACGGCCGGGCTCCGCGCCCTCACACCAGGGCCAGCAGCCGAGGCGGGTTTAGTATTTGCTAATTTTGCTACACTTTTTGTTATGTCTGTGTAGGGAGGTCGTAGGGGTTACAGATCCAATTTGAGTAAAGTTTAAACAAAATAAATTTAAAAATCCATATATTTTATGATAAAGGGCCTTTAACTTATGTCGGCCAAAGCACTGATATTATATATTTGCTGTAAAGAAAAAGATAAGAGTTTTATTTTTCTGATATTAAAGTTACTTAATAAATACTTGTTTCCATTAACTTGAATGTTCTTCTGCCTGGCTGTCACTCGGGCGAGATGGGGGGCAGAGAAACCCAAAATAAATCCCCCGAGGGGTTCCCTGCGTGAGGGATTTGGGGCTGGGGGTTCCCTGAGGGATTTGGGTCTGGGGGTTCCCTGAGGGATTTGGGGCTGGGGGCTCTGTGAGGGATTTTGGGTCTGGGGGTTCCGTGAGGGATTTGGGTCTGGGGGTTCCCTGAGGGATTTGGGTCTGGGGGCTCTGTGAGGGATTTTGGGTCTGGGGGTTCCCTGAGGGATTTGGGGCTGGGGGCTCTGTGAGGGATTTGGGTCTGGGGGTTCCGTGCTGTCCCGGACCCTTCCCCGGGGAAGGCGCCGCCAGCCCGGCCCTCCCGCGGCAGCCCCGGGCCGGTCCCGGTCCCTCCCTGGCCGGACCAGGGGATCGGGGCCGGGAATCCCGACCGGGGCCGCGCTGCAGCCGCCGCTGTCCGGGGCTCGGGGCGGGCAGCGCGTCCCGTGCTGGCACTGACCCCTGACCCCTGACCACTGACCCCTGACCCCTGACCACTGACCACTGACCCCTGACCCCTGACCATTGTCCGGGGCTGACCGCTGACCACCCGCCAGGGCCGGGGCTCCTCCCGCTCCCCGCAGCGCTCCAGCCTCCCGCGGGCCCGCGGGTGGGGGCCGGGGCTGGCAGCAAAGCGCTCCGGAGAGCGGAGCTCGGTCCCCGCGGGGCTCTGCTGTCAGCAGCCGGGCTGGGTGAGACCCCAGCACCCCCAGACCCAGCAGGAGCGGACACTGGGGCTGGAGCGGGGGCAGGGCAGAGTTTGGGGAGCCCCCCGAGGGGGAGCAGCTCCCGGGGCAGCTCCGATCCCCGTCCCGCAGCGTTTCCGCCCTCCGGACACTCCCGGGGCCGGGCGGGCGAAGCACCTCGCTCCCGGCCCGGGGTCCCTTCCCGTGCCACAGCTCCTGGAAGGAGCAGAACGGACACAAACCAAAAATGAGCAGTTTTCGGTTTGGGGGGGTTTTCCCCCCCCCGCCAAAATAGCCCTGGCCCAATTTTTTTTTTTACGAAGTTGCAGGGCACTTCCAAAACCTGCTTGGGTAAGGTTTGAAGTGAAGGCGTCTGAGCGAGCTGTGAAGGAAATAACGGGGTTCTGGGCAGGGGGCTGCGGGACACCCCACACCCGGTGGTCTGTGGGGCCGGGCAGGGCTCGGGGTGGCCCCAGGGGCTCCTCCGGCCGGAGCGGGCTCTGTGACACCGCACGGGGCGCGGGGGTGGGGAGCAGGACAAAGGCACCGAAGGAGAGCCGGGCTTGGCTCTCCGAGCCCCGCTCGGGGCGGCTGAGGCTGGGGCAGGTTGCCCAAAGCCAGGGAGGGAGAGAAAATGGGGCCAGAAATGCAGAAAATGGGGTGGGTTAAGGCGATCGTGGCCCCGGGGGAAGCACAGGATCCCAACAGCTTTCAGGCTGGAAAAGCCTCCAGGGCCATCGAGTCCAGCCCTGTCCCCAGCACTGCCCAGGCCCCACTGACCCCTGTCCCAAGTGACACCTCCACACACTCCAGGGATGGCCACTCCAACCCTGGGCAGCTGTGACAAGAGCTGGCCGCCCATTCCATGGGGAAATTCCTCCTGGTGTCCACCCTGAGCCTGCCCTGGCCCAGCCTGAGCCCCTTCCCTCTCCTCCTGTCCCTGTTCCCGGGGTGCTCCCGGCCTCTGTCCCCAGCCCGCACTGACCTGGGGGTGCTCCAGTGCCGCTCCCCTCCACTGCCGCTGCCACCACCCGCCGGGTGCCCCAAGGCCACAGCGGCCCTTCCTGCCTCTGTCACCCCCACACGGGTGTCCCTGCGATGTCCCAGCCCCCCGGGCAGCCCCAGCGCCGTCACCCTCGGGCCGTGCCGCTCCATGTCCCTGCACTCGCCGTGACAAAGCGCTTCACCCGCGCTCCTCAAACCCACACAGCAGCCCCAGACTGCCCCAAACCGCCGGGCACTGTCCCGGGGTGTCCCCATTCCCGGCTGGCATCCTGCAGCACTGGACCCTCGCCTCCGCGGGATGCTGCGGCTCCCGAAGCCTCCAGGTCCCCACGTCCCGTGCGCCCCTCGGGGACACCGTGGGGGCCCTGGGGGGACCTCGGCCCCTCTGGTCCCCAGAGCTCCCGGGGTGGCAGGTGGAGCGCTAAGGACATGGAGCCGCCCCCGCGGCCCCAGGGGACCCAAACCCCGCGGGGACACGGCCACTGCTCGGGGACAGCGCCCGGGGCTGGCCGGGACAGCGCCCGCCTGTCCTGGGGCCCGCCAGGGGAATGGGAACGGAAACCGCCTGGGCAGGGGGCTGGCAGAGTGACACGGATGTCCCCAACTCCTCGAGGGGTGACAGGGATGGCCCCAACCCCTCCGGGGGGTGACAGGGATGTCCCAGCCCCTCCGGGGGTGACAGGGATGTCCCAGCCCCTCGGGGGGTGACAGGGATGTCCCAGCCCCTCGGGGGGTGACAGGGATGTCCCAGCCCCTCCGGCAGGGCAGGGGTCCCCTTGAGCCTGACACGAGGCACCCACACGAGCCCGGACGGTGCTGCGGCCGCCACCGGGACACCGCTGCGGAACTGCAGCTCCTGCCAGCCCGGGGTGGCTCTGGTGGCCCCTGTCCCCCTGTCCCCAGCCCTCCCATGCCCGGGGAGCCACCAGCCCCGCCCCAGAGCGGCTCCGAGGGCTGCGTGGGACCCGTCCGTCCCCACACGGCTCTGCAGGAGCTGCTGAGGAGCAGCGCGGCTCTGCCGCAGCGAAACTGCAGGTGAATAAAAACAAGCCGGAAAAAAAAAAAAATTAGGAAAATCCTAAACCATCAAAACCCTCAAAGCAACACCTTCATTTATTTTCAGCATTTCCAATGTCCGCAACTCATTGCCCGAGGCCGGCACCAGCTGCTCCTCGCCAGCCCCAGCTGTGTCCGAGGGGCTCAGCTGCCCCGAGGGGCTGTCCAGCCCCGGTCCCACAGCTCCCGCAGCCCCCGGCCCCCCGGCCCCGCAGCCCCCGGCCCCCCGGCCCCGCAGCCCCCGGCCCCCCGGCCCCGCAGTCCCGCAGTCCCCGGCCATCTGCTGCTCCCTTTCAGGAGG